GTTACAATTATATATAAAACTATCACAATTTGAAACTTACTGATAACTAGTAGGATGTTTTAAACATTCAATCGAAATAGCCATTGTAAATAGAAGCAAATACAAACATCTACAAGAAAATCGTTTTGAGACAACACAGTACTTTCATAAAAACAAAAAGTACGTCCGTTAAGTTACAACCGAGCGCTGGGTTTTTTGACTTAAAAAAATCATAAAATGAAATATATTTATAACATTTTCTTTTTTAATAATTAAAAGTACACCTCATTGTGAAGATGACATCTAAGTACACAAATTTTATCACAAACAAATTTAGGTACTTGCAAATAATATATTATTATAATTCATCATTATATTATAATAAAAACTCTATAAAATACATTTGTACTCATATATAAATAAAGCCAATTTGTGACAACTGCATATATTAGGTTCGACGGAAGATACCTTACTTCATCATATTCTCAACTTTCATTTCATTACATCGCAAGACTTTGAATGAAAAAAATTCCAATCAGTACTAAAATATAATACCCAGAACTCACACTTTCTTTCCATAACAGACAGACATATATCCGAAAATCATCTCAAATTTGGTTACTTTTGCACAGAAATGTCTACATCACAAGCAGATGTGACAGGACGATTAAGTGTCAACTCAATCACTCATCTTGTGCGTAACACGCACATTTTTTATCTACTTTGCAAAGTAATGTCAGCATCTTTCTCCTTTTCTTCTTCTTATTTCAGTATGTGATTAGAATATCATAAATCCATTATTTTGTTTATGTTTTCCTTATTCAAATTATTTACGATTACCAGTTACTAATACATTTTTATAAACACACTTTAAAAACATCGCTTTCATTGTTATTTGAAGTTAAGGAGAAAATAAGCCGAAAGGACATCAAAGGCAACTTTTTTTAAAAGGATCACGAAACAGTGACTTCGATTTTCTGACATTTTCTTCATGTATATTTTTCATATGCTAACAACACTAAAACAGCTTTTTAACGTTACACACAAAGATATAAAAAATGCATCGTATTCTGTATTAAGTAGGAGCAGCAACAGCAGCAGTAGTAGTAGTAATAATAGAAGTAGTAGAAGTAGTAGTAATAGTAGTAGTACAAGTTGTGGGTAACTCCATTTTCGTTTCCTTTTTGTCACTAACACAAAGACTTTTCACTATTGGCGGAAAACCTTCGTTCATTACACTATCACAGTCAGTTGCATGGTGTTTATGAGATGAAATTGTTTTAAAAGTATAACCACATAATTACGCCACTTGATGAATTCTCAGTCAATTAAATAAAAGTCTGTGATCACATAAAAAAATTTAAAAAACATGTCCTTAAGATTTACCATCACAATTTAATCTTATATTTAACTATACGCTCTGTTCGAATCATTGGAGTTACTGACTACTTTAATCGGATACCTCAAAGTAGTATTTAACGAATCGTTATGAATTTCTAACGAATTTTGAGCATAATGTAACACTAAAGATTTCAAGGAACTGTATATGTTGTACGGTTCTGAAAATCCCAATCCTCTTACAGTTTTCTGTATTATACAATGGTTAACCGTACCATTGCACGTTATTGAAAGGGCGTACTGGTTTTTCTGAGTATAAGAAATACGAATTAAAAAAGTTCCGTCCGGTTTACCCGTCAACAATTCCGTCGCTTTTAAACGAGAACAATCCAATAACAGCCACGTACTTTCATCGTTGTGTGGTAGATTTTCTATATCACACTCTTCCATTAGGTCTGTTCCATCGCTTTCCTCTTCGCTGTTTAAAAGCTGCAGTATACGACTCTGTTTAACCCCTCGTTGCACAAGCCACCTGGAAAAATGAAAAATATGATTTAGACAAACATCTACCACTTAATATTTAGGTGGAAAAGGCGGCATCTAAGTTTAACTTGAACTTACCGTTGATATTTTTCGCGTTCCTTTATCAAATCACGAATAACAGGTTTGAGTGATGTCAGTTCTCGTTCTAAAGATCGATTGTACGCTTCGCGCTGTTGCAAATTTTCATCCAATTGTTCACAACTTTCCTCCATAGCTTTCAATCTCTGTTTAAGAACTTCCGCGTTATCGATAAGGTTCTTAACTTCATGCGGCTGAGCTTCCTTTTGAAACGCCTCTTGCATCTTAGTTTGCTCGACAAATACTTTGACTAGCTCTCTAAGAGCATCAAGAGCTTGTCTCTTGCTAAGCACTTCTTTGCACGTCTTATTGAAATCCTCCGTATATGTTTCTAACTGCTTATTTTTATCGTTCAGTCTTTTGTTAACTTCTAGTAGACTTGCTGTTAACTTCTCTATATTTTCAGTATAAGCGCTTTCATCTTCTTGGTTGTATTTCGAGGCGGGATATAGGAGTTTAATGTCCAAGGAAGCGTTATACTGAGATAAGGATTCGTGGCGATAATGGTTTATTAGATCGATGACTGAATTGAACAGGTACGGTTCGGTAAAACCGTATTTCCCATTACGATGGCATATTTTAATGAGTTTATTAGCTCCACCTTTTCTGAGCGTTAATGTGTATTCCCCACCCTTATTAGATGCATCTCTCACCAAAAACGTACCATCGACGGTATCGTTTAACTTTTCATTGACTTCTTCTCGTGTTATATCTCCCCAATACCATTCAGCATCGTGTAAACTTGAACTAATAGATTTATCTTTATCCATGCTCGTTGAATATAAACTCGAGCCCACCTTCGATATTTTTCGTGGAGGTATTGCAGGAGCTGAAGCAAATTCAGGAAGAGTCTCGTTCCAATCACATGATAAGAGAAGAAGTTCTACAATTCTATTGTGTGCTTGGGTGTTGTAAACTACTTGACTGAAATTAAAGTAAAAGGTAGGAAAACCAAATTCACCAGCAAAATCCAGCACAAACTTACATTATTCTTTCCCAAGGCGGTCGCAAAAGAATATGGCACATAACTTGTATAAGTTGAGTGGGGGGATTTTTATTTCCTCGGGCGTATTCCATTTGACATATTCTACAGAAGTGTGCCATAAGAAAATGAAGAGTAGTACGGTGATGCTCGGGAATATTTTGGGCTAAATGATTTAATAATGATGAACATTGTTCATCGTTTCTTGCTTCTGTAACAAGAAAGGTAGCATTAATTTCGTAATGTATCCATTAATTACAAGACATTGTTGCAATCAAATGTAAGCAAATTAAATATTATCCAATTTAAAGTTTAAAATTGACCTTAAAAAGGGTCATCACACCGACTCCGTCATCAGTAAATGAAGAACTGTATGATATCGTTCTTGTTTATAAAATTGCGGTCAAAAAAAAAAAAATTAAATGATAAAATATATTTAAAAGACAACTTACTGGATGCTTCCAAAAATCTGTCATACCACTGGACAGGTATCACAGGATCAGGCAATTCGCGTAAAAATTTCTTTAGAACTCCGGTAATGCAAACAGGACTATATTCTGCAAAGTCAACGTTAAGTGTGTTATTTAATTTTTGCACTAAGTCGTTCATTTGATCTGCCGGTGGAGTTGCACAGTAGATATTGTATAGCTCTAACGTATTATTTTGTTTGGCGAATGTCTCTAGTTGCTGCGTACACTTCACGACCTAAAAGAGAATCACTGGTGAGTAAAAGGAAATGATAAGAAGTATTAGGAAAGCATACTATATCTGGAGCTGAAGATTCGGTAGTATTAAACAGTGTACAAAGTCCTTGCCCAAAAATAGATTTAAATTGTATTCCTAAAGACCTATCTTCTACTGGAGGTAAACACGTTGGCAAACCATTAGCTGCACAAGTTCGATGCGCAACAAGGCCGCAATCTAAAACAATTAATTAGACTTCAATTTAATGTTTGCCGAGAAAAAGAAAATCATGGTGCAATTCCTGTCTGTTAAGTAATGAAAAACTGCAGTTTTCATATTTTAATGATAAATACCTTGACAAATGAATCCCTGATGAAGAAGGCCACGCAAATATTTGTTGCATTTTTCACAACGTTCCAAAGTACTGAAGCTATGTTGTGTTAGATTGTGGGAATAGAGTTGTTGCTCACTAGAATTATTAAACTGCTCGCTGGTCATGTTGTCTTCTTGTTGCTTTAAAAGTTCACTAACGCAGCTCAAAATGGCCTTCTGATGAAATTCATCTTTTATGCCCATGTTCTAAAAAAAACAAAAGACAATTACCACTCATAACAGTAATGTGATCACATCACACTTCCGTGATGATAGGTGCACTCACCATGAGCTTCTCTTTATCCAAATGATAAAGATCAGAACCTTTTATGTCTTTACAGCGAAAAACATCGGCGTAAGGGTAAAGATTTAGAGCAGCCATCCATTCAATTACATGGGATGAAGACCATTCCGTTACCGGCTGTAACGAAATACATTAAATTATTACTTGGTAACAGGAGTTGTTATATATTGGAAAATGATTTTTTTTTTGTCTACAATACGAGCAGTAAAAGCTTTTTATTAAATTGCTTGCCTTTTGTATACTCTGTCGACAAAATGTAAATATGCAAAAAATATAAAAATTACCCTATTAATTCAAAATATGGAATTTGACAAACGGTGTTGCAGTAAATCATTGATTTTAGGCGTCAAGCACCTCCAGCAAATTATACATATTCATCGTTTATTAATTATTAGAAGTTATGTTAAAAATGTTTCAAAGTTAAACAAAAATTCTAACAAACTGTGGTTTTATAGGTATCACACTGCAAACTAGGTATCTCTACAGTTAATTTGTNTGGCTGTAATAATATTTGCACACGTTTAATTTTAAATATCTAAATTCAGTATTTTTAGTTTAATTGGTTTGGTTACTAATTATAAAAAAAAAAAAAAACAATTGCTCGATGTGACAAAACGCTCAAAACTAAGAAATGGTACTTACTGATACTTCTAAAGCAAGCAGGCATACATAATTAAAAAACTAAATAATTAAGAAGCGAATTTTTATATTTTTGTTGTACTAGATTACATAGACGTATTTTAACAGATCTGACTGCACAACTGCATTAACAAATATATAAAAAAAAAAAAATACCTATCACACTATATCATGAATTGGCATGGTAATGCATAAGCAACGTACAAGTATACTGTTTCTGATGACTAAAGAATAAAACTGTTTATGTAGAATAATTACACTGGACAAATAAAAACGTAATACACTCAAAATAGGTACCGTTCTTATCCTCATCAAACAGACAAACCTGTACGATTAGGATTACTAAATCAATAAGTAAATTATTTATTTATTAAATATAAGAACTAGCTATCACATACGCATACGATATCATACATGTGAAAATAGAACTCTCATCGAAATCGGTTCGACCATTTCGAATATTAACCCATACACACACACATAAAACTTGCATACAAATAACCATTTAAGCAGACAGATGCTTTAATGTTATGTATATGTATACATTATTTATTATATAAATGTGGGAAAACGTAAGTAACTTTTTAAACAAGTACATATACATTATTTTAGTAATTTTGTAGGTGTCTGCAATGTTTTTTAACAATGTCAAAGGTTTTTAAGTTCCTGCTACCTAAACCGAATTATTATATTAGTATACTTGTGTTCGATTAACGGACTAATGACCTAGAAAAACGTGACCTACGGGTGAATTTTAACCTTAAGAAGCTGTTGCAGGTAAAATTTCAGAACAAAATTATAGAAGATCCCCTCTTAAGTACTTTCTAAAATAACTTAGATAATGATGGTACCTCAAGTTTATTAGTTTTTTTTTTCCTTTAGGACCTGAGTGATTATCACTCATGTATTTTAAGGGCTTACACATTCTCATTTATTAATTAGAAACAAAATTTTTGGAGATTTTCATATTTAAGTTTTTATTAAGAGAATGACAATTCAGAAGCTAATACTAATAACGAAAATAACAAATCTGTAAATCTACATTACTCCATGCACAAACATTTTAAATAAGTTAGATAAAACGATATTGTTTTAATAGCACATAGAAAAGTAGCTGCTTATTTTTTCAAGATTGTTCAATTTTTTTTATTCATCCTAATTCAGTTGTGATTTTGAACGATACATCTCTCCCATGTAAAAAGAGCAACACTACAACATTTTCGCTAACAAGTACAAATTTTTATAATTTATAAATAAATTAGCATAATTTACACCTACACTGAGAAGTAACACAATTAAATCACAGTAACTACTGTGTAAGCAACTGATAACAGTATTATTCAAATAACTTATAAATTAATTGTATGTGCTACTACTTGCCATAATTTAAGTTATTAAGCAATGCATGTACTGTAGAGGACTACACTAGACCACACTCTAAAAAACTTACGATTAATAAAGCTATAGAGTAGTTGATAATTTTTTAAATCACACAGGGGCAAAATTTTCACCTGGATTAAAAATTACATATTTCTTTGTCGGCATTTTTCTTTTTGTAAAAAGGAAAATGTATATTTTGGTGAATATGAGGAATATACGAGGGTGGATTGATAAGTTTCCGGCCTAACCAAGAGATGACGCCACTAGGCCTACCTTGAGGTGACATTCTATAGTACCATCCTTGGATAGCTTGTAGCTATAGTTTCAGCCCGATCTCNGTTCTTGTTTATAAAATTGCGGTCAAAAAAAAAAAAATTAAATGATAAAATATATTTAAAAGACAACTTACTGGATGCTTCCAAAAATCTGTCATACCACTGGACAGGTATCACAGGATCAGGCAATTCGCGTAAAAATTTCTTTAGAACTCCGGTAATGCAAACAGGACTATATTCTGCAAAGTCAACGTTAAGTGTGTTATTTAATTTTTGCACTAAGTCGTTCATTTGATCTGCCGGTGGAGTTGCACAGTAGATATTGTATAGCTCTAACGTATTATTTTGTTTGGCGAATGTCTCTAGTTGCTGCGTACACTTCACGACCTAAAAGAGAATCACTGGTGAGTAAAAGGAAATGATAAGAAGTATTAGGAAAGCATACTATATCTGGAGCTGAAGATTCGGTAGTATTAAACAGTGTACAAAGTCCTTGCCCAAAAATAGATTTAAATTGTATTCCTAAAGACCTATCTTCTACTGGAGGTAAACACGTTGGCAAACCATTAGCTGCACAAGTTCGATGCGCAACAAGGCCGCAATCTAAAACAATTAATTAGACTTCAATTTAATGTTTGCCGAGAAAAAGAAAATCATGGTGCAATTCCTGTCTGTTAAGTAATGAAAAACTGCAGTTTTCATATTTTAATGATAAATACCTTGACAAATGAATCCCTGATGAAGAAGGCCACGCAAATATTTGTTGCATTTTTCACAACGTTCCAAAGTACTGAAGCTATGTTGTGTTAGATTGTGGGAATAGAGTTGTTGCTCACTAGAATTATTAAACTGCTCGCTGGTCATGTTGTCTTCTTGTTGCTTTAAAAGTTCACTAACGCAGCTCAAAATGGCCTTCTGATGAAATTCATCTTTTATGCCCATGTTCTAAAAAAAACAAAAGACAATTACCACTCATAACAGTAATGTGATCACATCACACTTCCGTGATGATAGGTGCACTCACCATGAGCTTCTCTTTATCCAAATGATAAAGATCAGAACCTTTTATGTCTTTACAGCGAAAAACATCGGCGTAAGGGTAAAGATTTAGAGCAGCCATCCATTCAATTACATGGGATGAAGACCATTCCGTTACCGGCTGTAACGAAATACATTAAATTATTACTTGGTAACAGGAGTTGTTATATATTGGAAAATGATTTTTTTTTTGTCTACAATACGAGCAGTAAAAGCTTTTTATTAAATTGCTTGCCTTTTGTATACTCTGTCGACAAAATGTAAATATGCAAAAAATATAAAAATTACCCTATTAATTCAAAATATGGAATTTGACAAACGGTGTTGCAGTAAATCATTGATTTTAGGCGTCAAGCACCTCCAGCAAATTATACATATTCATCGTTTATTAATTATTAGAAGTTATGTTAAAAATGTTTCAAAGTTAAACAAAAATTCTAACAAACTGTGGTTTTATAGGTATCACACTGCAAACTAGGTATCTCTACAGTTAATTTGTGCTCATGTTTTTTTGGGGTGGTTAATGAATTATATTATAAAATATTTTGGAGGACGGACTACGAGAATACGAGGTCTCTCGAAATGGCCATGTGCGTTGCTGAGTTGTGCAGAGTACATTAAAGCACAACAGCGAGGCAATGAGGCTAACCAGCAAGGAGCAAGAGCACAGCACCGCCACGGAGGTATACAGCTCCGACCGCTTGCTGCAACTCGCTTTCTAGGCCCATAGCAACCGAGAGGGATTCGCTATTGGTCGTCAGAAAGCCTATCGCGATCGCGCGTTAACCATAATTTAATCGAAGAAGAGATAGTGTATGAACTGGCCTGCACAGCGCATTTTGCCAGTTGGTATATCTACAGTATGTCTAGAAAGTTCATATATGCCACCGAATATAACTCGAAATTTGATATTTTTACTGATAAATCCAACAATATATTGCATTTATTAACGCCAACAACTTGCTTGTAATATGTAATTATGTAAATCCAAACAAAGTTATTAGAGATACAATTTTGTTGCTCTTTTGAATTAAAATCGACAATTTTTTGATATACTACCTAGTATCTTAGGTATCTTCCCAAATTATTACTTATTAGAACTGCAGTCTTATTAGGTACCTATACAAGTTTTTCGGTAAGGGAAAAATAAATCGCACATTTCGTTTACGTCCTTTAAAAATACATTTCAAACATACCCAAACAAATAGGCACCTGATACCTACGCACTACGTAGAGCGAATACCTTTTTTGTGTGCTTCAGTAGAGAAATGTACCCTAACATGCAGCAGTTTTTAGTATTCATTTCACTACTGAAGCATTAAATTTCAGCAAATATCCACGCAGTAGCAGCAAGCTAAAAAATCCAAAAAAAACGCATCTATAGATAAAACATTAATGCACAACAACCGCTGACCATTACATTTAATTGTATTATAGAGAAGGACAAGTATCTAATAAATTAATTAATAAAACTGTCGAGTTTAAACGAGCCACTATATATACCTATATACATATGCTGTTTAGCAATTCAAACACAAATTAACATAGACACACGTACCGATACGTCTACATCTATATTATATACTTCTATAACACGGATGACCTTAACTTCTGTTACACAGCGGTGGCTCGTTTTTTTTTTTAATTTATTTTCAAAATGAAGATAAATCAATTTTATATATAGAAAAACGATTTTGCCATTTTTGATAGTTAATAAATGCGAGCGTCATCGTCATTGCGATTTTATATAGGTACAGGGCACGATCGAATAATTTTTACACAATCGAATCGGGTTATGGCTAGGTAGATTATCAGTGAATTTTTTTTTTTCCATTAATGGTTACTACTGCTAATCCAAACTACAGGTAATTAAGTTACAAAAATGTATGCATCTATTGGCAAATTTGTCGAATAGAATTTTACTTGATTTTCTTTTACTGCCTGAGACCAGTTAAAAGTTGACGGTTTTTTGGGGGGATACTGTAGGTAATCATTTTACAAAATGTACCTACAACTCAGAAACACTGCGGTGTTGGCGAGAGCAGTTATTACAGTAAACATTATTGAACTGGACACGTCGATGCTTAAAATTCTAATGACCTTGAGTTAAATTTACACTCCGATTGTTACACGAGGCCTGCTGCTATACGCACAGGAGATGTAGCCTTGCCTGGGAGCTTTGGTATAGAAATGTGCTGCATTAATACCAACACCCCACCACACACAATGTGTAACTGTACCAAAGATACAGAGCTCACCTACCTCTTGGAAATCTACGGTTTTTTGGCACTACAAAATATACAGTATATGTATAGGTAGCTGCCGTTTTTTTTTTGTTTTAATAGAAACTATTCTTCCTTATATCATTTAATAGGTACTTTTATTTCTTAACGAAAAAAATTATGTTACATGAGTTTAAATAATGACTCTGCCAGAAATCGTCTTTTGAATAGAAAAGTTATATTGAAGAGTTTAAATCTGGAACGCCCCGTATATATTGTATTAGTTAATTTTTGCAAATTAAATGCAAATATTAAGACGCAGAACTTGGGCATAAGACGTTAATTCAGCTTGTAATTTACACTACAAGCACATGATTCAAAATGACAGCATTGAATGCTTAATTATTATTGGTCATACATTTTCAAAAGACGTTCGAGGAATTTCGAGTAAACATGGTCGACACTTTTTTTTTTTTGGAATACTTTATCCTCTAACTTATCTTCTATAAATCACAAAGATAAAGCATATCTTAAGAAGAAGTATTTTTTTTTTATGCCGAATTTCATGTTTCAAGTGTAACGATTCTTTCTCAAATTGAATTCATATTAATTATTTCTTATCGAAGAGGGGTCTAACCTTTGGCTTATGTCGGATTAACTTTTTAACAAACCTTATCAATCTACGAAATACGTATGTTGCAACAACTTAACCATGGGTGCAAAAATGAATTCCAAAGATATAACGGTCTGCAGTTTTTTCATGTAATTTGTTTCGCAACGTGAGGCATAAAACCAAAATATAAAATAATATCTCCGAATTTGCCCTATGTCAATGGCAAAGGTTAAAAGACGAAAAGACTAGACAGTTTTTTTTAATTAAACAAAAACTACCAAAATAAAAACACAGGTACATTTGATCTTGAAATATTAGTGTCCTAAGATTAATTTTTAATTTTGTAGTACTAGGTACATTATTTTTAAAAGTTCATTAATTTTCAAAAGTAGTAAATACCTAGTTAAATGAATTTTATGTTTAATTTTGAAAATTAGTTTTAATAAAAAAAATTGTTTTGGTGAAATATTTAAAAATTGGCGTACATGTTTGACCTACATCTGTTAACAACCACATAGTGTTTTGCAAATTCTAATTCCGATAAGAATAATGTAATTACAATTATCAGACTTAACGCAAAAACATTGGAATTAATTTTTACATTTCAAATGACCAATAGACTTGTTGAAAATAAAATGCATATACGTAGTACATATTTAAATTGTCTTTACTTAAATGTTTGTATTTTACTTTCAGGATTCCTCAAGAGTTGCTTCAGTCTGTTGCACTGTGTACTTTTGATGGTAAGTTACAAATCATACTTTTTTTAGTTTGTACAGGTGCAATGCAGTGACCGAGAAAAACTAATTGTAAGATCAAAATCCCCGAAGTTTCAAGTCAAGTCAAGTTGCTACATGAATAATTAAAAAAGGTCTTCAGGTAGAAAATAAACCCTATATAGAAGTGATTTTATATAATGAAAACCTTTTTTAGTTATTCGCAACTACATAGTCATAGACGTCAAAAGGCGATATCTTTAATACATGGTATAGAAGAATTCGGATCAATAACAATATTATATAAGTCCTTTATAAGTTCAATAAATGCAATTTTAAGCTTTTATAGGAGTGTTACGGTTTATTAAAAATATTTCAGGGAAACAGGTGCTCTTTTAAAATAGTCGTGGTTGAAAAAATATATTCCACACATTCACCAAATTATGCATTTTTGTTCAACCGACAAAAAAAAATATCGACAAAGAAATGTGTAATTTCAGGGAAACAGGTGCTCTTTTAAAATAGTCGTGGTTGAAAAAATATATTCCACACATTCACCAAATTATACATTTTTGTTCAACCGACAAAAAAAAATATCGACAAAGAAATGTGTAATTTCAATGTTCGGAAAATGTTTTACTACCTGCATTTAAAATCCACTCTAAATAAGACATTTTATAACAGTTTTGTATTTTGTACCTCAGATCTTTCTTTTACATTCGACTAATTCTTCATTTATTGTAAGTACAAAAAAAAGTTGTTGGAGAAATTATATGTATTTCCCGAGAGAAATAAATCTTGTTCTTACCGGCAACACAACTTAATGATTATTGAATATTGAGATTTGGCTTTAATTTCAATCGTTCGTTAATGCCGGTGAATAATGAAATGGCGAAATATTTAAAGTAAAAGCATTTGCGATTTTTGTCTAATTTTTATTTTTAGTGAACGAATTAAATGGGTGTATGTGAAAAAAAAAGTGATTATTTATATCACCTATCAGGATTCATGCATGTCTGCACGTCTCAATTTACTGTAAAACAGTAATTTTCCTTGAACTCCGATTATCCACTCAGATGTGTTAAAAAAAGTGTTAGATAAACCACTATATACGTACAAACATATACCCGTTTATTAGCACAACTTTTTATACCGAAACGTTAAAAATTTAATTTCAATAAGAGTAGAAAACTTAATTTTACAGCTATTTTAAAGTAATTTCCACAAATTCTCATTATTATATAGTGATACAATATAAATGTTGAGGCTATATCTATATTATTTATTCAGATTATATGTAACGTACCACCATACATAACGATTTGTAGAATTTCATATTTCTTTTTTTATTCGAAAAACATTAATAAATAGTGTAAAGGTTATGCCGCAACGACAACAAAAATGCATTCATTCAAGTTTTTTTGCTGTAAAGCCGGAAATTGCTATACATACTAGAATTACTAAACTAGTAAATTGTGTTGTATTAATACAGCACATTATACAACATTTATTAGAAGCGATTGACTGTTCTTACTTTTATAAAAACCTACCTGGTTGTAGTTTGTGTAGA